ACATCTCCGACATTCTTCCCAAAGGCCATTCTCCGACATTCTTCCCAGAAGCCATTCCAGCAACAACTCTTGCCAACAAGTCAGTCAATTATCTTGTCCGAGACTGGATTACTACTACGATTACTATTACGATTACTACTTCTACTACTATTACTACTACTACTACTACTACTACTACTACTACTACTACTACTTCTTCTGCTACTACTACTACTACTACTACTACTACTACTACTACTACTACTACTACTACTACTACTACTACTACTACTAGTACTACTCCTACTCTTACTGCTACTACTACTACTATTAGTACTAGTACTACTACTACGACTACTACTATTATTACTACTACTACTTACTACTACTACTACTACTACTACTACTACTACTACTACTACTACTACTACTACTACTACTACTACTACTACTACTTCTACTACTACTACTACTACTACCTATTGCTATCATTACTACTACTACTACTACTACTGCTACTACTACTACTACTACTACTACTACTACTACTACTATTACTACTACTACTACTACTACTACTACTACTACTACTACTACTACTACTACTACTATACTATACTACACTACGATACGACTACTATAACTACTACGCCTACTACTACTACTAACTACTACTACTACTACTTATAACTACTACTATTACTACTACTACTACTACTACTACTCTACTACTACCTACTACTACTATTACTACTACTACTACTACTACTACTACTACTACTACTACTACTACTACTACTACTACTACTACTACTACTACTACTACTACTACTACTACTACTACTACTACTACTACTACTACTTAAGATTATATTATTATTATTACTATTACTAATTCCTACTATTATATTTATATTTATATTAATATTTTATATTTTTATTTTTTATATTTTATATTTTATATTTTATATTTTATATTTTATATGTAGTTTATTTTAAATTCTCATTATTATGTATTTTATATTTCGAATTAGGTCTTAGATATTAAGTATCATAATATAGATATATATTATTATATTATATTATATAATAATATATATATATATGTATATTATTATACATATTTATTGAAGGCTATATATATATATATATATATATATATATATATATGCTCGCCCCCCCTCCCAAGATCCACCCTTCGAGTGCTCGTAGTCTTGACTTTCCTGACGTCTACTGTCGGGTTAAGGTTTAAAGGTTTAGGGTTTTAAGATTTAGGCATTTAAACATAAGCCGACAATTGCACCTAAGCCCTTCACCTGTAAAACCCAATGGGGTTAAGGTTTAAAGGTTTAGGGTTTCAGATTCAGGCACTTTAACCTAAGCCCATAGAGTTTAAACCGCAAGGGTTTAAGGTTCAGGCATTTAAGATATGTATGAGTTGGTAGCTGAATCTTTGCTGGAAGGAGTTTTTGTCACACAACGCATTGCTTATAAGCAATAAGTTTGCTTATAACAGGGGCCAGGGGGGGCGGGGGGGTCAGGGGTGACCCCTGAACACCCCCCACACCCTGCCCCCTTGCTGCGCTCCTGTTTTTGTTTCAAGGCTTACTTTCTTAAATAGTACCCTAGTGGTTAAGGTTGTAGGGCTTTCAAGGGCAGGGTTTAGCAATTAAGCCTCACCCCTTGACCTTTAAAAACTCTATAGGGTTAAGGTTGACAGTTTTGTAGGTTAAGATTTAGACATTCAAACCCAAGCGGGCAATTAAAGCTTAATTCCTAACTTTTAAGCCCTATAGAGCTAAGGGCTTAGGCATTTTACGCCTAAACCCATAGAGTAAGTTGTTTTAAGGGTCTGAAGGGCGCTGAAGGTACACACGCCCAGACCTTAGATTTTTACTAGTAAACCCTATAGGGTTTAAAGGTGCAGGGTTTAAGGTTTGAGCATGACCTATAACATTAGAAGCTTATAGCCCTATGGGGCTTGAGGCTTCAGGTATGCCTATGTTTGTAGGGCTTGCACCCCGGGGGACGCGAGAATACTGTGAGCAAATGTCCTTTCACTACATCCTGGAATTCTCAAGATATAAACAAACCAACCGACATTGGATAGAATTCAGGTGTTGCTTATCGGGAGATGATTGCCTGAGATATCTTAGCTATGGTATAGTTTTTAGGATAGTGTTCTGTTTTGCTTATTGGGGTGTGATGGCTTAAGATATGATAGCTACAGTGTTTAATATAATTAGAGGTCAGGTTTTGCTTACGGGGGGATGATGGGTTGAGATATGTTCGCGAAGTTATAATTTTTATGGTTGATTGCTTAAGATACTGCAAGACCTCGAGGAGATATATAGTTCTGGAAAAAATTGGTTTTTGGGGACAGCACAGCACATTATTGGTACCTGCAAGCAAAAAATAGGGACAGTACAGCACTTCTGCAGTCTCAAGAGGCGAAAGTGCTGTACTGTCCCTATTTTTTGCTTGCAGGTACCAATAAAGTGCCGTACTGTCCCTAAAAAACCTAAAAAACCAATCTTTTGGGAACTACCGGGGGCTCCAGGGCTGGTAGTGCTGGAAAGATTGGTTTTTTAGGTTTTTTAGGGACAGTACAGCACTTTATTGGTACCTGCAAGCAAAAAATAGGGACAGTACGGCACTTCTGCAGTCTGGAGAGGCGAAAGTGCTGTACTGTCCCTATTTTCTCGTCCCCAGGCAAGCAAAAAATAGGGACAGTACAGCACTTCTGCAATCTGAAGAAGCGAAAGTGCTGTACTGTCCCTATTTTATGCTTGCAGGTACCAATAAAGTGCCGTACTGTCCCTAAAACACCTAAAAAACCAATCTTTTGGGAACTACCGGGGGCTCCAGGGCTGGTAGTGCTGGAAAGATTGGTTTTTTAGGTTTTTTAGGGACAGTACAGCACTTTATTGGCACCTGCAAGCAAAAAATAGGGACTACGGCACTTCTGCAGTCTGGAGAGGCGAAGTGCTGTACTGTCCCTATTTTCTCGTCTCCAGGCAAGCAAAAAATAGGGACAGTACAGCACTTCTGCAGTCTCAAAAGGCGGAAGTGCTGTACTGTCCCTATTTTTTGCTTGCAGGTACCAATAAAGTGCCGTACTGTCCCTAAAAAACCTAAAAAACCAATCTTTTGGGAACTATCGGGGGCTCCAGGGCTGGTAGTGCTGGAAAGATTGGTTTTTTAGGTTTTTTAGGGACAGTACAGCACTTTATTGGTACCTGCAAGCAAAAAAATAGGGACAGTACGGCACTTCTGCAGTCTGGAGAGGCGAAAGTGCTGTACTGTCCCTATTTTCTCGTCCCCAGGCAAGCAAAAAATAGGGACAGTACAGCACTTCTGCAGTCTGGAGAGGCGAAAGTGCTGTACTGTCCCTATTTTTTGCTTGCCAGGCAAGCCAAAAAATAGGGACAGTACAGCACTTCTGCGGTATGGACAGGCGAAAGTCATGTTTCCATTGCTTGGGTTTCAGGCAAGCCATATTCGCATTTCGCAGACACAGAACGAAGTCGGTAACACCAGAAACGAACCACCAGATCCTGGTAGTCCATTTCTGGCATCTGCATGCACACATCGCTGTAAGAAAGAAGTATGAAACAATCGTTTTAACAGGAAAACCCTCGGTATTTGCAGCGTTTTCTGCATCTGCATGTATAAGAAAGAGTACATATATGGAGTGAGGAGATTCTGAACAGCCTTGGGGGTGGATCTTGGGGGGGGGGGGGGGCGACCATATATATATTAGATATTAAATATTAAGTATTATTTATTCTATGTTTTGTACTATAAATGAAACAGTTTGTATTATATGATATTTTATCATAAACTATTATCTTATAGTATATCATAAACTATTATATTATATTATATTACATTATATTATATTATTTCATATGTTTTATAATGTATTTTATATGATATCTTATATTATATACATTTTTATATATTATATTATAATGCCGTTTGTTTTTTCAATATTTTATTATATATTCCATGATAATATTTTATATTGTACATGATATGTTATGTTCAAATTAATATGAATCATAATAATATTGATATTAATAGAAACATAAATATCAATAAAATAAGTATAGATATGCAGAATATATTGGTCGATCGCGTCGGGAACAACGTACCAAAACTCGAGTTTAAGCGCCTCGAGACGCGTTTTGTGTGAGAGGGTTGTCGATCGTGCTTCGAACACGTACAAAAACTCGAGTTTTCGCGCCTCGAGATGCGTTTCGTGTGAGAGGGCAGGTCGTCAATCGTGCCCGGAAAACCTTTCCAAAACTCGAGTGTTAGCACGTCGACACGCGTTTCGTGTGAGAGGGTCCTCGATCGGGTTCCGAAAACGTACCAAAACTCGAGTTTTCGTACTCGAAGTCGAAGTTTATTTTCTTTTTGATCCTTTTTTATTTATTTTTTGATCCTGGGCTGCGTTATTTTTTTTTGATCCTTTTTTATTTTTTTTGATCCGGCAGCCACCCCCCCCCAAAAAAAAAAAAAAACAACAAAAAAAAAGGAAAAGAAAACGGAACAAGACATCATCCTCAGCACTGGACCACTGTATCACTGAGGCTTAAAAGCCTCGGCCAGGTAGGCTCTTGGGATATTTTGTGTTTCCCCTTTAAGGTTTAAGAGGATCCAGATTCCGGGGTTCAGAGGGCGTTAAGGGGCCCAGGGGGAGTGGAGAAGAGGCCAATGAGGCTTCGGTGCGGGGGGGGGGGGTGGCTGGTCTGTAGCTCTTGTCTCTCTTTTGTTGCCGCCATTTGCTCCCGTGTTCACGAGTGGGGTCCTCTAAGCAGGAGGGGCCGGATGGCAGCAAAAAACCCACAATGGAGGACGAATGCTTCAGAGCCCGTAGGCAGAATGATATTCGGGGGGGGGGGGGGCAAGTTGAGACCGGAATGCAAGTAGTGGAGTTGAATCTTGTACCCTGTATCGGTACCCAGAACAGACTTTCAATCGAGACCCCAAACGCGCCCGGAGTTTTTATCCCCATGTCTTTTGGGGAATCCCGGGCGGGCGAAGGTGTCTACGTCTTTGCCATCGCATTCCGAATGATGCTGGATGGCTCCGACATAGGCGGAGAAGAAACCCCGAACCCCAAAGCCCCAGCCCCAAAGACCTCGCACGCGCTGTCTCAACCCTTCAAAGCCCAAACTCTCCAGCACCCCCTCTCCAGCACCCCCCCCCCCCTTGGGTAGGGCCACGGGGCGAAAGAGAGAAACGCTCTTAGGGGAAGTCCCTGGACATGGGGCCCTGAATTGGTGAACCCTTGTATGCCCCTGGCTTGCCCTTTCAAAGCCCAAGGGCCCAGCCTTCGCCCAAGCTTCAGGAAACCTAAACCCTCAGCCACCCTCAAAGAAGGCAAGGGACCATATCTGCATCCCCCTTGGGAATTATTTCCTATTTTGATTATATCAAACCCAAGAGAATACCTAAAGAGATTATTCTTATTGAGGTTCTAAGGGAAGTGTAGATATGGGGGGGTTTACGATATTAGGGGTCAGGAAATGGTTCAGGTTCTCTAGGGCTCCCGGGGTGCTTCAGTCTTTGGGGGCTTGCGAGGCTCGAAGGCTTTAGGGCTTGGCTTCTGGGGCCTCATCTGGCTTTAGGGAGTTGGGGTTTAGGGTTGAGGGTTTCGGGTGTAGGATTTGGGGTCTAGGGTTCTAGGGTGTTTGTTGGGGGTTTTGGTAGGGTTGGAGTGGGGAAGTTCGTTTTTTTGGTTAGTGACCAGCCCTGCATAATATGAAGGGTGTTAGGGTTTGGGGTTTAGGGCTTAGGGTTTCGGGTCCAGCGGTTAGCCGTTCACTCCTCTCCCACAACTGCACAAGTAGCAAAGCCACGCTTGGAGGTTCATGGGGACTTATATAACCCCAGCTATAGACATCTTGCGCCAGGCAACATCAAGTTTGGAAACTGCGCCATCGCCATGCACAGCCTCATCATGCATGGCCGCGGGGCAGAGAAAACCACCCCCCCCCCCCCCCCCCTATCAGTGCCTAAGCCCTGAACCCTAAACCCTAAACCCTATACCCTACTTTTCTTAAAGCCCCCAAAAGGCTCAAGCGCTCTGAAATCTTAACTGGAGATAGGGCCCTGTCCCCTCCCCATGCCTTGCACTCCCCGTCCCACACACAGTAGTAGTCGCCTTCGACCTTTCTTGAAGGGGGGAGTGGTTTGGGGTTCGTTGTACTCCCAAAAATCCCAGCGGCAGCATGTTTTCTACGCGTCAATGTAAGAATCCGGAGCTGGTTCCTTAAAAACAATTCTGGCCGACTTCACTCATTGGAAAACAAAACTCGCCAAGCCTTTCGCTTGATTCAAGCGTTCCCTCTCGGAATATGAAAGCATTGTGACAGCACGCAGATTAGGTGAACTCGTAACTCAATGTTGACGACACGCCTCAAGTTCAGATCTCAAGCTTTCCGTCGGTTCATGCGGCCAAGGGACACAGTGGGCAGAAGGGCTATAGAACCCTAATTCGCATCCTAACGTAAGTTCCAGAACACCATAACAGAAAATGAACCGGTACCCTACGAAACCCTCGGTTCCGTCCCGCATTTTGAGGGTTCAGGCTTTGGGTCTTTGTAGGTTTTACAGTTTAGGGTTTAGGGTGCCTGGGACGTCGGTTTCCTCTTGGGACCTCAGCAGCTCGGGCGCCCAAAAGGAAACCCTGTTTTGGGTTATCAATGTTATCAATTCTGGTCGTAGTGGTAGTAGGGTGACAACGTGCAACCAGGGCGTACCTAAAGAGTGCCTGTCAAAGGAACCTTCCTCGATGCCGTGTCGGACATCATGCAGGAGTTGCTGGAGCAGAGTCTGCCTGGCAACTCGGATGTGGTGGGTCCCCACCCAGCCAAGGGGTCTCGCCCTTAATGAAGGCCCTGTGATTTTTAAGGGGCCCTAAACCACTAAACCCCGAAACCCCTAAACCCGTAAACCGCTAAACCCCTAAACCCCTAAACCCCTAAACCCCTAAACCCCTAAACCCCTAAACCCTAAACCCGGGCCCCGTGCTCAAAGCCTACGTTAAGTCCCGGTTCGCACAGAAGAACCTGAGCCCCGAGTGCCTCAAGAATCCTGGACCCCCAAACCCCATGCAAGCCCTCGATACCCTTCAACCCGTTTTGCCGCGGTTTAGGTTTAGGGTTTAGGGTTTAGGGTTTAGGGTTTAGGGTTTAGGGTTTAGGGTTTAGGGTTTAGGGTTTAGGGTTTAGGGTTCAGCATCTCTGGTCCAAGCATTCACTAGTTGAGCAGCTTTGCGAGGCCACAGGGGAAATACCCACCCGCCCATTGGGTCCCACACCATTTGGAAAATATCCAACCTCCTTCTTCTCAAGCGGCTCCGTTCTCAAGGAAAACAACTGTGAAAATCCTAAGCCCTAGACATAAAACTTGCCGAAAAAAAACTGTGGAAAAAAACTGTGAAAATCCTAAACCCTAGGCATAAAACTCGAAAAAACTATGAAAGTCCTAAACCCTAGACATAAAACTCGAAAAAAACTATGAATATCCTAAACCCTAGACATAAAACTTGCCGAAAAAAACTGTGAAATCTTAAACCCTAGACATAAAACTCCAAAAAACACTGTGAAAATCCTAAGCCCCAGACATAAAACTCGAAAAAACTGTGAAAATCCTAAACCCTAGACATAAAACTCGAAAAAAACTGTGAAAATCCTAAACCCTAGGCATAAAACTCAAAAAGAAACTGTGAGAATCTTAAACCCCAGACATAAAACTCGAAAAAACTGTGAAAATCCTAAACCCTAGACATAACACTCGAGAAAAAACTGTGAAAATCCTGAACCCTAGACATAAAACTCGAAAAATCATGTCACCGAGTTCGCGCTCCCATATTTGAGCCTCGATGCGTGGGACCAACAAACTGTGAAAATCCTAGACCCTAGACATAAAACTTGCCGGAAAAAAACCGTGAACACGATTCTTCCCCAACCCTCCCTTGAACTTCATCCTGGAGACATAAGACTTCAAAAAAAAACCGTGAAAACCCTAAACCCTACACATAAAACTCGAAAAGAAACTGTGAAAATCCTAAACCCTAGACATAACACTCGAGAAAAAGCTGTGAAAATCCTAAACCCTAGACATAAAACTCGAAAAATCATGTCACCGAGTTCGCGCTCCCATATTTGAGCCTCGATGCGTGGGACATAAAACTCGCAAAAGAAACTGTGAAAATCCTAAACCCTAGACATAAAATTCGAAAAAACTGTGAATATCCTAAACCCTAGACATAACACTCGAGAAACAACTGTTTAAATCCTAAACCCTAGACATAAAACTCGAAAAATCATGTCACCGAGTTCGCACTCCCATATTTGAGCCTCGATGCGTGGGACATAAAACTCGAAAAAAACTGTGAAAATCCTAGACCCTAGACATAAAACTTGCCGGAAAAAAAGTGAACACGATTCTTCCCCAACCCTCCCTTGAACTTCATCCCGGAGACATAAGACTTAAAAAACTGTCAAAAATCCTAAACCCTTGACATAACACTCGAGATAAAACTGTGAAAAACCTAAACCCTAGACATAAAACTCGAAAAATCATGTCACCGAGTTCGCACTCCCTTTTTTGAGCCTCGATGCGTGGGACATAAAACTCGCAAAAACAAACTGTGAAAATCCTAAACCCTAGACATAAAATTCGAAAAAACTGTGAATATCCTAAACCCTGACATAACACTCGAGAAACAACTGTTTAAATCCTAAATCCTAGACATGAAACTCTAAAAAACTGTGAAAATCCTAAACCCTAGACATAAAACTTGCCGGAGTCCCACGCATCGAGGCTCAAATATGGGAGTGCGAACTCGGTGACAAACCCTAGACATAACACTTGCCGAAAAAAAACTGTGAACACGATTCTTCCCCAACCCTCCCTTGAACTTCTACCCGGAGACATAAGACTTTCAATAAAGACTGTGAAAATCCTAAACCCTAGACATAAACTCGAAGAGAAACTGTGAAAATCCTAAACCCTAGACATAAGACTCGTGCCTTTGCCGATGAAGGTTTTGTGCCTTGCCGACGAAGGTTTTGTGCCTTGACGACGAAGGTTTTGTGCCTTGCAGACGAAGGGGTTTAACATGTAAGCCTAAATGTTAATGACCTTCGTCGGCAAGGCACAAAATCTTCGTCGGCAAAGGCACAAAACCAGTGAAAACCCTGAACCCTAGACATAAAACTCGAAGATGTGCCTTGTCGACGAAGGTTTTGTGCCTTGCCGACGAAGGTTTTGTGCCTTGCCGACGAAGGTTTTGTGCCTTGACGACGAAGGCTTTGTGCCTTGCAGACGAAGGGGTTTAACATGTAAGCCTAAATGTTAATGACCTTCGTCGGCAAGGCACAAAACCTTCGTCGGCAAAGGCACAAAACCAGTGAAAACCCTGAAGCCTAGACATAAAACTCGAGGATGTGCCTTTTCGACGAAGGTTTCGTGCCTTGCCGACGAAGGTTTTGTGCCTTGCCGACGAAGGTTTTGTGCCTTGCCGACGAAGGTTTTGTGCCTTGCCGACGAACGTGTTTAACATTTAAATAAATATATATATATATAAGAGGAGAGGTTTAGGGTTTGGGGTTTAGGGTTTAGGGTTTAGGGTTTAGGGTTTAGGGTTTAGGGTTTAGGGTTTAGGGTTTAGGGTTTAGGGTTTAGGGTTTAGGGTGTAGGGTTTGTATGTTATTTAGCATAGGTGATCCCAGATCGGTTCGAACCGCCACGCAGAGTCGGTGATTCAAGTTGTCATGTTCAAGCGGTAGGGTTCTTAAACGGGTACTATAAACCCGTTAAACCCCATGCTAGCTGCTGACCCTCATACTACCCCCTAAACCCTAAACCCTTGAGTACCAACCCTGTAAAACCCTGCTAAGCCCTGTCACAGCATGCAGAAGCGGCGCCTGAGTTTCCCGCAGCTTCGGAGTACCTTGGGGGTGCCCCCACGGTTTAAGGTTCGGGCTTAGGGAAAAGGTGTTTAGACTTTAAGGTTTAATCTTCACCCTAAACCCCAAACCCCAAACCCCAAACCCTAAACGAAGCCCCAGACCCTAACCTCAAGGCATGGACCTCGCTCATCAGGTATACGAGATGCACGGATGCTGAGTCCGCTAAATTGAGATGCCTAAAGCCCTACGCCTCAAACCCTCAACCACAAGCCCTAAACCCTACACCCTAAACAATAAAACCCGAACACCGAAAAACCCTAAACCCCAAACCCCAAGCCCACACCCTAAACCCTAAACCCTAAACCCTAAACCCTAAACCCTAAACCCTAAACCCTAAACCTTAAACCCTATTCTAAATCCCACAACGCAGAAGAACAACACGAGCAAAAGCAACAGAAGCAAACTTCAATCTATGCCAAGCTGAGGATTCATTCTGATGTCGCTGGGCTGCTACCGGCTCCACAAGGTTGAGGTTCAGGGTGTTTGCTTCAGGCATCGGCATGCGCTCACGCGCGTACACACAATGTATCTGAAAAGAATCGTAGAACTGTGCAACATCATACGAAGTCGCAACAGCTCTTTGATTTCACATACGATGCTGGGCATTCCTCATTTTCTGGGACCCTGTGGCAAGGTGTCGGTTGGTACGGGTTGGCTTCAGAAGCTGGGCTGTGTAGGTGGTCCTCCAAGGATTTTTGAATCCAAAACCCTGAGGCCCTGACCGCGGTTTGGGGTTCACATCCTCCAGGTCCAGTGAGGCTCATGAACCCCCAACCCTGCAAACCCTCCACGCCCAGAATCCTAGGAGCGTCTAGAACGTAGATCCCTTACCCCGCACTAGCGCGGATGAGTTTTCAGCAAGCCTTCAAGAAAATTTCCTCTAGATCCCTAAGCCCTAAACCCTAATCCTCCCAACATGGGAACCTAGACCTGCAAGAAAAAGACTGACCTTCCTCCAAGAGCCCTAAACCCTAAACCCCAACTTTATCCTTGCCAACGGGACACACACACAGCATCTATCTAAAGGAACACTGCAACACCGCGCCCAGGTATATATTCATTACTCTTTCTGCCCGGGGCCTCGGGATTTTGGTTGGTTTTGTTTGGGTGGTGCAACAATCACCCTCAGATTTCGACTCTGGACCCCCTTACCCCCTTGTCCGGGATAATAGAAGGTAGTTTGCCGCCCTTAGATGTACACATATTGTTTCTAGAACCCTTGTACGCATGCAAGCCCCTCACGACATTATGCCCCGCCCACTATCCGGGAGGCCTGGCTTGGCACCAGAAATCCGCACAACTGCTTAAGAACCTGACGGATTCACCTAGGAGGCCCCTTAATTACAGGACATCCCTAACGGAGTAAACCCTAGGCCATAAACCCTAAATTGCGCAGGAAATCCCCGTAAAAAGATCCCTCGGGGCAGTCAAGGATTCGGGGCAGTGGCCAGAAAGCTCTGAGGAGGTGGATTCCTTATTGCCCCTTCTCAAATCCTACCTTGGTTTAGGGTTTAGGGGTTTAAGGGTTTAGGGTTTAGGGGTTGAGAGTTTAGGGTTGCGGTTTAGGGTTTAGGGGTTTAGGGGTTGAGGGTTTGGCCCATAATGACATGTTTGCACTATTTGTTGTCGTTTTGGGCTGCGAGTTTGCTACTGTGGGCAATCAGGCAACCCAGAACTTTTTCCCTAAACCCTGAACCCTAAACCCTAAACCCTAAGCCCCAAGCCCTGAGCCCTAAGCCCTCACACCTCACCCAGAGTCACTCCTGCAGCCTCCCTGGCATTCTCGGGAGCTTGGGGCTATGGCTTTTTGCGGGCTTTGGGTCTCGGATTTAGGGTTTAGGGTTTCGGGTTTCGGGTTTAGGGTTTAGGGCTAGGGTTTAGGGTTTAGGGTCTAAGAGGGTTCAGGGGGTTCAGGGTGTTCATAAGTCTGGGAGGCTTGGCCCCAGAAATCATCAAACCTAACCTTATGGGGTCATGGGGGGTAGTTTCGTCCTAAGCCCTAACCCACAAGATGTGAAAGCGGTTAACCTTGAGTTTGCCTCGGAAACACGTAAAGCATACCCTTATAGGCCTTCAACAGTCCAGAAATCCAAAAGAGGGAGCTGTGGCACAATGATTGAGTCTGAGGGTGTCCACTGTAACTCCAAAACCCTAAACCCTAAACCCTAAACCCTAAACCCTCCGAAATCCTAAATTTAAAGCAACCACCGAGTTTTCTTTTGAACGAGCTTTGGGGCAGGGGGGGGGGGGGGGGGGGGGGGGGGGGGGGGGCTCCTTAGGCCGTGACCATCATGAACATGCTGACGCTCGGAGTGCTTGTGGATGTGGGAGTCGTTCAAAATTGTTGGTCCCAGTCATAGGTTCTAGTGAATCGGTTCTGTAGGCAACTTCAATTGCGTTCTGGGGTTCTGGTGGCGGAGGCAGTAGCTACTTTAGCTCAGGACGTCGGCAGTGACAGGGAAGCTTCAGATGTCACGCCTGTGTCAGAGGGACCCCTACAGTGGAAGGGAGCTTTCTCTGTTTGTCACTCACTTGGTCTGTATTTTGGGGTCTTCTTATTCTTCTTATTTGGGTCCCTTGAAATTCCCGCGTCCCTATGAACGAAAGCCGGGAACTTTCCAAGGCGAGAGGAGATGACCCAGAGGGGCAGTGATTAGGAACCTTATGGTTTTTCAGGAACTCGAGATTCGGGCTAAGGGTTTAGGATTTTATTCGGGTCTCTTGATCTAAGGATTGGCATCATGTGCGAAGTGATCACGGCTGTGGCAGATGCTGAGAAAGAGGCGCTGCAGGTCAGCTGGACCACGGACTCTTGGCGCCCAGTTGTGGTTGATTAGGGTTGAGGGTTTAGGGATTAAGGGGCGTTTAGGGTTTAAGGGATTAAGGGGTGTAAGGAGGGGAAGGGGCCGTTAATCTATAACCCCTAGTATAACCTCGGTATATACCTTAAGTAGCCCCCAAATAACCCCTAAACAACCCCTAAGGTCCCTTATAAGGATCCCTCCTTTAGTCCCTTGAGTTTAGGCTTCAACCCGAAACCCTAACCCCTCAACACAAACATAAACACAAGCAGTTGTATGCATTTCATTACGAGAAGCTCGTGAGTAGTTTTGTAACCTTGTCTGGAAAACGATTTCTGAGACATATCAGGATCAAGATTTGATGAGCTTCTTCGCACGTTCTGGAGTATTTGGGGTGTCTGTTAGGCTTTGTCAAGGGGCGAGAGCTCCAGGCTTCACCTCTGAGGGGGGCCACCTCCCCCGAAAGTCACTTCTTTACCGAGAGCTCCAGGCTTCACCTCTTGCCCCGAGATTTAGCTATTTAAGATGTTTTTGGGGTTTAGGGTTTAGGGTTTAGGCTTACGGTTTAGGGTTTACGGACCTTGACAGCTCCAGGCCAGGATTCATCTACTTCAGTGCCCCCCTTCTCGGGAGCTCTAGGGTCAACCTCCTTTTTGCCCCCGGGTTGCTCGATAAGCAGTTTGCTAACAAACTCGAGAGATTCGTTTTTTTCACTACATATCTTCGCCTATCAGTACATGTTTCCCTGATAGGCGAAAACATGGCAGCAATCCACAAGGAACGCCGAGGCGCTCGGATGGATGCTTTGCCGAGTGCTGTGTAGTGTACCAAATACCTGGGCGAGATCACCTTCAGTTTTGCTCAACGCTGCAGGTTCAGGATGCCGCAGACAGAGCAGCCGTGTTTGAGTTCTCCGTCGTTAACTGGCTTTCCACTTCTTCCGTGCTGTGTGAGCCACGAAGGCTGAGTTCCTTGTCGTTCGTCCACAGCCCAGGTGCTGGAAGCCCGCGTAGGTGCAAGTGGAGTATCAGGTGCTGGACAGCTTGCCACCAAGCTCTCTACCATGCAGCTTCTATGTGGAGCGCCAGCACATCTGCGGAGCTTTGCGGTCCAGCAGAACAGCGAAGGATTGAAGCTTTCATGCGATGATCACCAGACGCACTTTCCTGTCCTTGCAGACTCAGCCGCGAGCGTGACGGCAGTGGTGAGATTGATCCCCTGGTCCCGGCCAACCCCCCCCCCCCCCCCCCCCCCCCCCCCCCCGCCCCCCAAAGGCAGGAAAACGAAGTCCACATTTCTAGCCTCCCAAAAAAGCAATGCAGTAGTTCTAAAATGAAACGTTTCAGTCAAAGCTTTCGGTCAAGACTTTTTTGGGACCCAAAGCCCATACATTTTCGATAATCCCTAAACCTTAAATCCTAAACCCTAAACCGCGCTAAGCCTTCAACTCTAAACCCTAAACCCTGCCCCCCTCCCCCCCCCCCTCCCACAGTTCCCGCGCCGGCCCAGGAGGTGATTCAGACTTGTCTCTCTGCTGGAGCCGACACCAACAACGACGGCTGCATTGACTTGCAGGAGTTCCATAGCATCCTGGCCAACAGGGTTTAGGGTTTAGGGTCTTGTCGGCTTACGGTTTAGAACCCTAAACCCTAAACCTCAACCCCTAAACCCTAAGCCCTAAACCCTAAAGGGTTTAGGGTGTAGGGCCTTCGGGGTTTAGGGTTTGGGGCGGTGAGGGTTCTCCAGTTGAGCACCACAAGGGCTTTAACGCCCTTTCGGATTTTGTTGGGTTTGGGGTTTGGGGTTTGGGGTTTAGGGTTTAGGGTTCAGGGTTCAGGGTCCAGGTTTTAGGGTTTAGGCTTGGCGCTTGAGGGTTCATCTACGGGTTTGGGGGTCTCAAAAGTGTCGGGCTGAGGGTTTGGAAGAGCAGGTTTTAAGCTTTAGGGTTGAGGGTTTAGGTTTAAGGCTTAGGGAAGCCAAGGCGCAAGAGCCTCAAGAGATCAGATGGGCGAATGGAACCTGAAGAGGAAAACAACCCAAAACAAAACCAGGGTTTAGAGTTCAGCGGTTAAGGGCTTGGGGGGGTTTCGGGTTTAGGGGGTCTGGGTTTAGGGTTTAGGAGTCAAGGGCTTAGGTAGGGGTATGGGGGTTTAGGGTTGGGTTGGGCGCCCGTGGCCTCTCCCAGACAATCCCTGAAAGCCGCCTCGGCCGCACTGGAACTGAAACACACGTTTAAGGTTCAGGGGCTTAGGGGTTTAGGGTTTAGGGCCTAAACCCCTTCGTGCCCAGCCCTAACACCCTTGAAAGCCGAAACTCCCTAAACCCTAAACCCTAGAACCTAAACCCTAAACCCCAAGCCCTAAACACCCACTCCTCCCAGGCATGCTCCAGAATCCTCAGGTGAGGAAGGTCTTGCATGAAGTGGCCCTCCGGGCTGCCCATCAGTTGAGGGTTTAGGGGTTTAGGGTTTAGGGTTTAGGGTTAGGGTTGAGGGGGCTAGGGGAGTTAGGGTGTAGTGAGGAGTAGGGCTTTAGGGAGTGTAGGGTGGAGGGTTCAGGGTGTTTCGGGCTTTTGGGGGGTGTATACAGTAGTGTTTAGGTTTTGTTGGCCTGTTTTAGGGTTGAGGGGTTGTAGGATGTAGGGTTCAAAGGTTGGCAAGGGTTAGGGTTCAGGCTGTACGAGTGCACAACTAGAACCCCCCCCAATAAAACCCTAAACCCCTAAACCCTACAAGCCCAAACGCCCTAAACTCTCTAACAACCCTAGAAGCCCTCAACTCTCCTACACAACCCTAGAAGCCCTCAACTCTCCTACACTCCCCTCTAAACCCTAAACCCTAAACCTAAACCCTAAACCCTAAACCCTAAACCCTAAACCCTAAACCCTAAACCCTAAACCCTAAACCCTAAACCCTAAACCCTAAACCCTAAACAATAATAACCCTGGAAACCGCCAATCCCCTACACTCCCCTACACTCACCTAAACTCCCTTAGCCCTGGGATTTTGGAAATTCGTGCCCGGCCTCTAAGAGCTCCATGAGGGTTTAGAGTTCAGGGTTGAGGGTTTGGGGATCGATCTTGGGCCTTTTCTTAGGGGTTTGTAGGAGGGTTTAGGGTAGGTTTATGATTTAGGGCCTTAGGGCTTGGTTCAGGGTTTTGGGCCGTTTTCGTGAGTTTAGGGTTTTGGGGGCATGTGAGGGTCTACAAGGGGTTCAGGATATGTTTGTCCCGCACAACCTCTCTGACGCGTAGTCCGATCGGTCTTCGTGGGCTTCCGGTTCTAAGTTGCGAAGGTCCAGGGTGATTCGTTTGTGTGTTCAGGGTGTATAGGGTCCCGGGTTTAGGGTTTGGGGTGTACAGGGTTGCAAACCCTAAACCCTAAACCCTAAACCCCAAACCCTAAACCCCAAACCCTGAACCCCAAACCCTTCCTAAACCCTAAACCCTACTCATTCCGCTTCTGTAGCCAAGGACGTGGATGCCAGGCGCTTAGCTCTCCTGCGACGTGAGAGCCCCCCTTCGTCTGCGCAGTCCACTCTAGACAACCGCTTGCTGGAGACATCATATGTCTAATTATACTCAGTGACCGCTGCGTATTTACAATGAGCAATTAGTACTACGGTATGTATTATATACAGGAGATATATATATATAA